TGTCTCTGCTCTCAGGAATGGACTCCGGGGCCTCTTCTGGCCAGCTGATAGAGAGGAGTAACAGAAAAGCTCTGCCTCTACACCTGAGACTGCAGTTCCAGCTCTCCCTGGGAGCAACCCAGGAAAACCTACCAGAGCCATTTCCCCTTTTCAAAGTCTCCTAAAATTAACATTTGTCTTTATTTATTGTTCATTTAATTATATACTTATACAAGACTTTTACCCAGAGGGTTTGAGAGGCTGAATACATTCTTCTTCACAATTTTTAGTAAATTGTGAATTAAAGTCTGTTTAGAAGGCCCCTGTTTTGAAGTTCTCCCTCCACATCTGCAGCTCTCCTGCAGCTTCATAGGTGCTAATGGGGAGAAGCACCCCTGTAGGTGCCTTCACCTCAGTGATTTCTCAGCATTATAGGGAAACATCACTATCAGGGGAATTTTCTTAAAATACTTTTTTTGGAGAAATTTCTCAGCTGCTGCAAGTGCATGGATAGTTTGTGAACAACGAGTGCCTTAATGTTAAGCATTGCAACAATAATAATAATAATAATAATAATTATAATAATAACCCTGGGATACTGGTGAAGTTACTGTCTCTTCACTACTCTGACTTCACCAGCCTTCTTAGAAGAAAATAATTTAAGCATGCTCCTGCTAAGAAATAGTCTGTGCACTTTTCTTTATCACAGACCAGAGCAGACACCATGACTCAGTCTGAGCTGTTAAAAAGGAAGATGTACATAAACCATGCTAACTACTTTATTTACATGCTACAAATTGTACCTAGTGCTGTTTTCTCACAGTCAGCAAGGTCCCTTTTTGATTGATAGTGATCAACCTTCACCATCTTCACGGCCGACTTCAATTCATCAGGAGTAAACACCAGGCCTATTTTTCCTCTGCTTATGAGCTAGGGGACCTCATTATTTTCAGAATATTCATTAGACTCTCTACTTACTCTAAAAATAGTAGGGTGGTTTTTTTTTTTTGCTGCCAAGTGACTAGTGGGCAGCAGCTTCATGCATTTATCCGTGCCACAATACAAGATCTGATAACTACATGTACTCAGACACTGTGCCTTCAAGAGACGGTTGCTATAAATAGAGTCCACCTTACAGTATTTGACATTGTCAAAGTGCTGGTTAATGTTCACTAATAGCAGTTAACTAATTTATCTTCAGGGCAACCCTGTTAGCTAGGTGAAACTGATATAATTAACGCATGAGTAAAATGAGATTTAGGAGTTAAGTCAGTTGCCTGTGCAGAGGCCTTCATGGTCTAGTGGATTAGACATCTGTCTCTCCAACCAAAGACGTTGAGTCTAATCCTTTTTCTGACATTGACTTGCTGTGTGACCTTACAGAAAGTCAATTAACTTCTCTGCCTCAGCTGCCCTAGAGATAATGACGCTTACCTACCCAGTGCCACATGGGTGTTTAGAAACTGTACGATACTTTTAATGTACTCTTAAGACCTATGAGTGGAAGAGGTGAAACATTAAAGCTTCCTAGCTTTAATGTCCTTGCTGTCTTATCTAATTCCTTCTCCCCACACCAGAAATAGATTGGGGGTAAGGAAGAATTTCTTAGGTTAAGACACTGCTAGTGAAACTGTGGCTGGCATCAGGAATTTTCATCAGATCCTGTTTGACCAGCAAATATATTCAGAGTACAGGTCAGCACTAGAATTGCAATGGAAACTTCATTTTAAACTCAGCCATGGAAGAAACCAGCATCCTTCCCATGCTACCACGAGGTAATGAACAGACTCCCACGGCCATCCCCACCAAGCACCCCTGATTCAAAGGGAGCGGAGCCTGTTTGCAAAGACCCGAGAGCCTGCGTTCATGCACCATCCCCAGTTCCCTTGTACCTCTAAATGAGATTTCTGCAGGACAATTTCTATGGGTGGCCTTATGGCTAGCAGGGATGCAAGCCCAGAGGGAGAGTACCCATGTACATGTACCTCCCGGAGCAGACCCACCTGATCTTGCCATCTCTGAGCACTGGGGCATTGTACTTAAGAGGAGGACAATTAAAACCTGCTCTGTTCATTAGAAGCCATCCTTGAACTTCTGTCCTCTCGCCAGCATAGCTTTTCATGATGTGCCATAGAGCGTTAAGAAGTATTACTTCTGCAGGTGGCATTTGAACTGCCCAGCAGGTATCCAGGCTGGTGGTGTGCTCATGTAACTTTATATCCCTTTTCCCATATTTGACTTTGCTTTTAATTATTTCTACAAAATATTCTGCCGCTACATATAATGGTGCCTAGGCCCATAAAACCTCCCACAATTCTCATATACCAAGAAACCAGTCAAACAGGACATAAGAATTCAACATTTACCTTTATTTCTGTGAGCAAGATTAACATTCCTTCTCTTTAATACTGAAGGAAATGTCAGGGCTTTTTCCCTTTTCCTTGCTGAATTATAGCAAGTGTGGAGAATGCTGATGCCGCCAGAAAAATAATAACCTGCTCCTGCCTCTGATGGGGCACCGATTGCTTCTTGGCATCCTTTCTGCTGCCGATCCGCCCGTGCACCAGCTGCTTTGTTTCGCTGCCCTGCTCTCCCCACCCTCTGACCAGTCTCTTCTCCACCCTCCCAGCTCTATTGATAATGTGTTTAACATTTACTTTGATGATCTTCCTTGAGGCTTTTCAAAATCCTTCTTGGAAAGAAGACCATTACAAAGAAACCCTTTGGGGAAAGACAGGGAGGAAAGCAAAAGCGGAAAGGGCATGTGCTTGTGTGTAATACACCCCTCTAGGCTTTGTCTTGCTGCAAGCCGGAAGATGACTTAATGCAAACCCGTACTGCTGTAAATAGGGAAAAAATATTGTGTTCTTCTAAAATACATCTAGGCTAATTCAATAAACTCTGACGTACTGGCTGCTACTTGTGCAAACATTTGCATATTAAATCCCAATAAATTACTAATGAGCTGTCAGATCAGTAATACAGATATTCCCAAGGCTGAAAGATTGTCTATAGCTTGTCGCTATATATTTACTTACTGCAGAGCCTACTGGTGTGAATTAGCACACGCCAAATAGCTCCATGTCTATACACTGTGGAAGAACTCAAAGGTGACTTGCAGTAGCTTACAGAATATACTCTAGGATTGTATACTGAGCATGGCAAGGAGCATGAACTAAAACTGTATTCAGCCCTCACATGCCTAAAATATGACATTTCAGTGCTGGTTTTTCCCCAGGATAAAATTACCTGTGTGCTAATCGGTGATTAATATGTAACACATTTGGCACAAGCAGAACATATAATCGCATTCAGACAGATTGTTGGCTTTTTTCCAATGCAATTGAAGACTGTACTCCTTCTAAGCATTTGTAGCTTATCTAGTAATGTTATCTCCTGCACTTGCATGTTTGTGTGTTTGTTTTTTATCTTACTATATGGAGAGTCAGAACCTGCACCTTACTGCACCTAATCTACTAATGCATTGAAGCATCCATTTAACTTTAAGGTCGAGCTTCAGATCTCTGCTGCATCAGGCTTTTTGTTTAAATATGTATCTTCTAGTTTTACATTGCATATTTTCCAATATTTCATAAAACTACACAATAACCCGGTTCTATAGTCTGCACTAGAGAGCAACACATGTGACTTCAACTTCACCTGTCAATCCAGTAAAGAGTATGTAATACCAGGAAGGACAACTTATTTTTATTTTTCACCTTCATTTTTTCCAGTAGCTTTTGTTTAACCCTACATACAAATAATGTCAGTTTCCTGTGAGATGTTTTCCCATTTTTAAGTTTGGAATTAAATGGATGGTTTCCATATAGTTTTTTGAGTGTGAAGGTGTAAGGACCTTCAGATTTATATTGGCTTTGCTGTAAATTAATGTTGCTGAAGTAAATGGACACACTTGAACTTGCAGTGACCTTGTAAAATACTGGTGGTTATTCAGATGAAACTGGGTCTATCTCCACTGGAAGAGGAAAGGGAAATCAGTTCGTCTTAAGTTTGGTAACTTGGTAATTGTTACTGTAAACAGTGGTTTTACTTCTTCATATGATCATTAGAAGACAATGCATAGCCAGTATTAAACCAGGGCAGATACAGATGATAAAGGTAAAACTTAATCTTGCTAGGATTACTGACTCTAAATAGATACAACTGAAAAAACACTGAAAAATGCTGAAGTTAGGCGGCTCCAGGGACTAGCAAAATGCCTTGTCTGGTAATTTTCAAAAGTCTTTAGAGACACTGATTGCACCTGGAACCTCTGATTTGATTACCAAAAAAAAAAATCTCTACTGTAGTAGCCTCATCTGTACTTTAATTAAGAGCTTTGTATTTAAATATAACCATCTGATCCTCTGAGGTTATTTTTAAAGTAAGCTTCTGGCAAGGCAGCAGTGTGGTGGATTAGAGGCTTGGAATTGAGGAAAAATCATCGTTCAGCACACAGTTTAGAATAGTGTGTGCGTATATACAAATACATGTGTATACAACATCATGTAACAAGATACGGGACTGGATTTATTAAAGCCAAAAGGAAAGATATTTTTTCTTTTAATATTCTAGATCTCTTTTAATATATGCAATGTAGATATTGCACTGCAGTCTGATTCACATAAATACCACAATAGCACATCAATCTGATCTGTCTGGTCAAAGTTCTGTTTTTCTACAAACGTAAAACCAAGTTATCAACTTAGCTGTCTGCATCTACTACTCCATCTAACAGTGGCTGTTACCCTTGATGTGGATATAGAAGACATATCACCCATCAGCTCACCATTTATCATGGAGCATGCAAGCATGAGCTGAAAAGCAGCGGTGCCAGATAAAGCACACTCATGGAAAACAAGCAGCAGGGTAGCAACAGGGGTGGCAGACTCGGGGTGCTAATGAGCAATGTTACAAGGGAAAGGGAGAGGAAAGGTGAACAATTCGTACAAGACATGGCTGGACGTGAAAAGCCAGATAACAATGGATCTTTCCAGTTCTTATTTCAGAAGAGAACTTACAGCTTCCAAATTTTAATGGGCAAGCATGTGCATCCATGGGGAAATCTTCAAGCTGCATGGGACATTCAGCAGAGATGGTCAATCTGTGGGGGAGTAAAAAGAAAACACATTTTTTTTTCAGTGCTTTCCCTTTAGGCCTCTCACTGCAATACACGAGTGCTGACATAAGGAAGCTTTTCCTGAAGGTTCCTCGCTCCCGCTGAAATCACAGCCACCCTCTCTTAAACTGAAGGTGAGAGAAGCCATGTGGACCACCGTGTGTGCATACTGTAGGCCTTATCCAGTAACGCTGAGACACATGAAATCATTTTATTTATGTAAGCTGTTACAATAAGATAATTCTTTCTTACTAGTACATGAAGGAACTCCTGTGCTAGAGCTTCTGCCACGCACCTTACAGTTATCCCCTTTCTGTAGATACTGCAACTGGACTAGGAATTTGACTCCTGAGTATAGCACTGTTACAGACATAAAGAATCATTGACTTTATCTATAGGTGTAACTATTTACATACATAAAAATAAATATATATAAATAAAAGTATGTAATATAAATATGTGTAACTATAAAGTTTATACATAAAGTCGATGACATATATACATATATTACTTTATATAGCACTACAGTTAGTTTCTGTGGAAATCACATGGTTTTGGGGCAACCCATTTCAGTTCAACATACCGTGAATTACCTGGGCACTTTGTCAGGAAAAAAACAACAGGGTCATTTTGCCCATCATACTGCCTGGGGAAGCAGTTCTACCCTGGACTGCCCTGCCACTATGTGGAAATTCTTGAGCTATAGTGGACATGGGGGTAGGGACAGAAAAACTCTTAGGAAAAAACAGACTTATCCCATGGATGTTCTGTACGATTGGCAGATCAAGCTGAACACAAAAGTCTCAGGTAAATTTCTGAGCAGTGCAATGTCAGTTATATTGATATCAAATATATCAAGAGAGCCAAAGCTTACTTTTCTAGGTGCATGCAGCACATAGAAGAATGAGAATCTGTTTTGATTATGCCATTTTAATATTTGCATAATACAGATGGTTTGCTCAGGATAGCGAGGATGCAAATCTCATTTTACATTATGAACGCCCTTATGGCTTTCTCATTTTGTGCTGCTGTTCCATCTCAGAGGCAACAGACCAGAGACACCCAAAGCCTCACAGACTGCCCGGTGCTGGGGTGATGCAGGGCTTTGCCGGAGAGTAGCCTGGTTCCTTACCAAATTGCTGCCTGCAGAGCAAAAATCTGCAAAAAAATCACAACACCTTACTACCAGAATGCAAAAGTACCCTTTCCTACCACAACAGCCGCACGTAGCCATACTCCCCAGCTATATATATTCACTGCTTCATATTAGCACACCAAAGTGAGTATTCTTGCTACAAGAACTTCTATCCAAAGAGATCATAAAGGGTAACAATCTGTCCATGTACAGATGGCACAGCGTTCAGCCAGTCCAATTCAACACAACACAATGACGCCATGTCGGGGTGCTCCAGCTACACAGACAATAAATTGGGGGAAACAGCTCCGCTCTCTGCCAATGCACAGAAATTCTGGAGTTTTACCAATAGCTGGAAATGGCAAAATAAGCACAGAGAAATGCAACAGTATCGTTGGCTAGAGATCACATCATGAGAATGAGCTGGGAAAGAGGGAAGGAAAAAGGCAAACTGCAAATAGTAATAGAAAATGTGAAGATAATACACCATACAAAGCAAAAGCAAAAAAAAATCCAGTTCAGAACAGAGATAATGTATCATCTGGTAAGAACAGACAGGAAGTCTACAATATAGAAAAGAAATTACTGAGGCCTGAGATACCTGCCCTTAGGTAAAATTGTTCTTGGACTTTATTTTTGTAAAAAAAATGCTAAAATAACTAAAATACGCAGTTGTCTGCAGTGGAGACTGCCCTTGGGCACCAAAGCCAGCAAAGCCACAGTCACTGAGAGTGCTACGTGGATGAATTTAACAAGCTGGTTCTAGCAGCATCCTGCCCAGAACTTGCATCCTTTTCATAAAAATCACTCTAATGGGTACTTGAAAGCAAGGCTGCCATCCCTCCAATGCATTGTTACATTTTCTGTACTAAGTACTGCAAATTTAATCTTCTTGATGAATTCAGAAGCCTTGCTCTAAGCACCATAAGAAAGCTGGTGTGCTTTACTGCAGTCCATCGCCTGCCTCTGTCTACCAACAGTTCAAGTATGTTGTTTCAAAGGCTGCAGCCTGACAACATTTTAGTACACATACTTGTCATCTGCAAACATTGAAGGAGGGGATCCCTATACCCATCTTACCAAGACAGCAGCTATAGAATCAGGAAGTGAAGGAAGATTCAATGCAGAATTATCAATAAGGCCTTCTGTTTCATCTGATTGTCCTATGAATTGTATCCTGCTGCCTGCATCTCTGGAAATAACCCTTGTGTGTAATGAGGAAGGCTGTAGACATTCCTCAGCTGTAAATATGGAAGAGAAGTGAAGATGAGGTGCACAAAGACTGTGACCTGTGGAATTTAATTAAGTCCCCCCAGAAATTATTTTTGCCTGTCTTAAACGAAAGGGTAGCACATAAGGCTGGAGGGCACCTGGCTGCCACTACCTGTCTCAGAAGCCGCAAAGACCCTGGTGGTGGCAGGGCTACTCCTGTGCCCCCTCTGAACTCCTCATCCAGCGAAAGGTGGCATATTCCTTCAAAGGATGGTCTTCTGGGTGCAGTCTTCTGGGTCTAGCCCAGGGGTAGGGAGAACTGAGTTTAGCACCTGCAAATGTGCTTCGGTACAGCCTTTCCTTCCACTAACATGAATTCTTTGGATGAAGAAGTTCCTTTTCCTTGTTACTAATTATATCTGCATGCTTCTTTCCTTTTATCATGCTTCATTCTAGGGTCACTCCGAGTCTGGCCATTTTGAACAAATGAACTAGCTATTTCTATCTGTTACATGCTATTCTTAAAAAGTATGTAGCTGAGGTTCTTAGGTAATTTTGAAATGCTCAGTGAACACTCTCTAGCCACCTCTTACAAAGTGTGCATTACTCGAGGCTTGGGAAGTGTCTTGTAATGGGCAACGCAATAGAAAACTTGACTGTGGGCTCTGATACACCGCATAAATGTCACCACCCTGAATTTCTGCAGAGTGGTCTGTGCCCAAGAGGAGTTGTTTTTCATTACTGTGTGAGGACCTGAAAAACAGAGTCACTAAATTGACTCCTAGTTCAAAGAGACTGGACTTTCTACTGCACACAGAAAAAAAAGCAGCACAGCAGTCATCTCTTATGTTCTGGGGGCTGGAAGCATGGGTCACTGCACACAGATTTGCTCCTAGGGGCAAAGTACAAACTATATATTCACATCATAGCTCCAGGAGTCACAAAGAAATTGATATCTGGGTCTGCTCCTTCAAATATCACCTAGGGTGATATTTGCACACTTTGGCTTTTAACATTGTGTTAAAGCTTACGTACCCTTTGCACAGTCTAGTTTACACAGCTGATTATAACAAAATTACTCCCAGTTTGCACTTATTGAAAGATGAAAAAGGAGGCCTTGGCATGCATATATGAAACAGCCTTTGCCTAATCCTTTTAATATGGTCACTCCAGAACGATCTTGCTGTGCTCACTGCAGCACAGTTATCCGAGCTAGAGACAGTCTCCAATCCAGGATTTTTCTGTCACAGCACAAGCACTGCTCAAACTGCAGTTCTTTCCCACAGAAGCATTTAAAAGCTTCCCTCCTCCACCATCATTCTGTCTTAATAAAAGCCCTACGGGATTAGTTTCACTCAAACAGAGTTTTTGACAAGATTGTAAGTGGCTGTTAAAGGTCCTTTACAATAGGAGGACAAAACTCCGATTTTATTGAAGTTAATGGTAAAATCCTCCCTGACTTCAATGGGGCCGGTATTCACCCAAAATATGTAACAAACCCCGGTTACAGCTGCTGATTTATTATTAACAAAAAATTTCACTTTCATAATGCTCCAAATACTTGCACTGCTATCCTAATATTAATCAACCAACAAAATGCTATCGCATACCTTAACTATCTGAAAAAAAGTTAGGTCTACAAATTATTTCATGTATCATCCATAATTGTGCATGAAAGCTTCATCAAAGCTTCATTATGTATAGCCTTTACTTTAAGAACATAAAGTGATTACTGAAGTTCTGTTTCAACAAAATATAGACACGTAAGTGATTACCCATCTAAGAAAAGCACAACAATTCAAGCAGCAAGACTTCTTCACTCCAGAAAAGTCACCTTCAACCATTTCCACTGGAGAATTAAGTATGACGACGCTTTCAAGAGACTGTTGCTTTTTAACGAGAAGGAGGAGAAGGACGTGTTAAAGTCAAGGATGTGGCAAGGAAATAAATGCAGATCTTTGGGAGCCAGACCTCCACAGCGAGTGTGCTTCATGGAGAGGTGGGGGTCCCTCAGCAGAAGTCCTGCAGGCACAAAGCACCCCATCCCACAAGGGCCTCTTCTGGGGCACTGCAGGGGCCTCCCTGCTGTTCCCATGATTTCCCTCAATGCCAGGAGCATCTGCTCCTGCTCGCGGGAAAAGAGCTGGGAGACTGAGCAAAGCTATCATCTCTCTGCTAGCCTGGAAGTGCAGAAAACACTCCAGAGTAATATCTGCAGCTGCCAGGCAGGAGGTGAGGGCAGTCACCTGCCCAGGGAGCTAAAAGACAGGCACAGAAACATGCTTTTTCTTATCAACTACTAGATTTGGTATGCAAACAAATTAAAACAGAGCTTTAGAAGGAGATGGGAGCACAAAGACAGAGTCACCAGTGGCTTTTGGGAGATGTTAAGATAAGCGTTGAATAACTGGAGTTACTGATGAGGGGGACACAAGGAAAGTTTTGTTGCCTCTGAGGTACTGGGGCCAGAGAGATACAAAGCTCTTCTGCCTGTTTGCCCTAATTCCCAAACCAGCTCCATCTTCTTAGTTGTTTACTTAGAATCATAGAATCACAGAGGGTTTGCGTTGGAAGGGACCTTAAAGATCACCTAGTTCCAACCCCCCGGCCATGAGCAGGGACACCTTGCACTAGACCA